CACATATACACGATGGAATACTATGCAGCCACAAAAAAGAACAAAATCATGAATTTTGCAGCAACCTGGATGGAACTAGAGTCTATAATACTGAGTGACCTCTCACAAAAACAAAGATCTGAGTATCACATGTTCTCACTCATATAGTGTACCTTTATCATCCAACATACACCATAAGAAAATGACTGACAGTGGTGGGAAACTATGGTGGGGAGGGAAGGGAGATGGGACTAATGGTAGGAAACATCTGTCTGGGGACGGGGAGACACCTCTTTTCAACAATGGTGGCTGAACCAAGCATATTTGTATACCTAACCCTTAACTCTATCCCATGATATCATAATCAATTTTTTTTTTTGAGTTGGAGTCTCACTCTCTCGCCCAGACTGGAGTGCAGTGGCCGCTCCCGGTCACCGCAGCCTCGACCTGTTGGGCTCCGGAGATCCTTCTGCCTCAGCCTTCCGAGTAGCCGGAACAACAGGCATGTGCTACCACGCCTGGTTGATTTTTTGATTTATTGTAGAGATGAGGTCTCACTGCCCAGGCGGGTCTCGAACCCGTGAGCTCAGGCAATCCACTCACCTTAGCCTCCCAAAGGCACGGGATTACAGGCTGAGCCATCAAGCCCGGCTATTAAAAAATATTGATAAAAAAAAAAAGAAATAAAAAAATTATAATAGTTGAAGGGTGTATATTCAATATTAAAAGAAATTAAACAGTAAAGAAAAGTAAAATTAAACTAAAATAAATTTTAAAAACTCAGATGACTTGGGTAGCTGGGGAAAACTACTCTAAAAGTTAAATAACAATGACTGTGTAAACCAAATATTTCAAGGAAATTGCCTTTATTTAAACTAGTTTTTTTCTTTTCCATTATCTAGAGAATAAACATGCTTCCCACATTTCAGTCATCTAATGAGCATTATCTTATACTTTGGAGATCAAAACTTTCCTTCTTAATTTATAATTTTAAATATTCTTTGTTGTTAATAATTAAAACTGTTTTCTACATAGGGTGTCTTTGTGTGTGTGTGTGTGTGTGTGTGTGTGTGTGTGTGTTCAATGATAAAATTCATTCTCTCAAATTTTGATCCCGTCATAACAAACTTAGGTTGTTAATTATAGTGTCAGCACAATGTCTTGACTGATTATAAAATTTTATTCAATGGATAGTAAAAGTTGTTTGTATATAGCATTTTAATAGATTGCATTTCTCAGCCACTCTTTTTGATTAAGTTCTTTTTTCTCTATACATTTAAAACCTGATATACCTGTTTTAAATTTTAATAGTAAAACTCAATGTACTTTCTATGAAACATTATTTTAAAATAGCCAATGATGGTATTCACTTTAGCCATCTTTTAAATTTAAGCAGACAAATTAAATTAAAAGCCTCTTTATGTAAATGAGTTTTTAATTGCTCATGAATAAGCATGTCATACAGAGAACATCATCATCAGACAAAACTAAGATAAAAACAGTGGCTTGGTCAAGACTAAGTTATTTATCGTTATCATATGAACTTAAGATATTGACATTAGAATTGTAGAGCAATGTTCTTCTAAGCCCCAATTTTTCTATCCATTTATTAACCAACACTGCATGCAAAGTGCTGGAGCAGCTCCTGAAACATCAGCTTTATGATGTTTGGTTCAAATGATAGTCCCAGAGACAAAGTAGAGCCTCCTGGTACAAGAATATTTGTATGCCACACACTTGAGCAATTACCAAGTCACTCAGCTCTATATTTTAGTTTTGATAACAAATGATCAAAGAGAAATTTTAATCACTCACATCATGCATTCCATACCTGCAAAATACTAATATTATTGTAAGTGATTAACAGTTGAAAATCAAACTATGCATCTGTAATACTTTATATCATCATCAGGGTTATTTTCATTGAGTTTATTTTTGGAAATAAGGGTGGAAGCATATTTCTCCAGATCAGTAAATCAACAAGAGCGATGGTTTTGACTTAATGTATCTTAAAATTTGGGAGACCCGCAGTTTCAGACATACACACCTACCTATAGAGTACTCTTCCACCAATGGTCACCAGGTTAGAAAAAACACTGAAGTCGGTCATGTTTGGAGGCCATGATTGGATGTTCAAGAAACCTACAAGTGACAGGAACAGTAAAAATAAGTCAGAATATCATTATCTTAGTCATAGTGTTGATTTGTCTTGAAATATGGTGGCACTGTGTTAAAAAGTGGTAGGTAAAAAAAAGACAGTGAATATTTCTATTTTTGAAAAATTCCTCACATTTATGCCTGCAAGATTGTCTTATTAAAAAAACCCACACATGTTAAATGATTTAAATGACTCAACTTCATTCATTCTTTTTTTCTTACGATAGGATTTATTGAGAGGACAGAAAATGTCCCACAGTGGGGGGGACCCGAAAGGGTTGCCCAATTTATTCCTATAGCTGCAAAAATGTAGTCTAAGTAAAGAGAAAAAGAGTATCAATTTACCTGAAATCTTTTACCACTTTATCTGCATACTTACGAATTCAGCATCTACCTTGCCTTCTAAGCAACTTACGTACATATTTAATCTTCTTCATTACATTTTACATTCTTTGATGATACATCCAGGTCTGATTCATATCTCTGGGCTCCCTATCATCTATGTATACAGTCTTAAACAAATCAGATGCTCAATATATGTGTGTTAAATAAATGCTAAATGTTGTCCATTTAGCACTTTTTCTGAAAAAGTAAATTAAAAACATTGGCTTAAACAACAATCGACATTTCCAAAAACTGTAATGTCAAAATTTCAAAGACTTTAATTTTGTAATTCCATGGGTTTTCAAAATGTGCACAAAAGCTAAGAAAGACACCGTTGTTCAAAATGACAAGTGTTTTTATAAACTAAAATTTGCTTTGAAAATGTGTTGCTGATTCCAATATTAGGCACTGTTTTCAAGGAAACACCAAAATGTATGTAATTCATAGCACAACTGCACTTTCAAAAATTACCTGTTATCTCTCTGACTGTCCTAAAGACATTCAGTTTCTCTGGGTCTATGGCCTCAATTGCATTGTAAGGATCCCTAGAAGATCAAGAAGAGATGTAGCCAAATTTAAAATTCAATAAACAGTTGGAAATATAAGAATCATGACGATAGTTATTTCATTCAAATTAAATTTTAATTAGCAACAGAAAAGTTAGCAGTGCATTGTCTCAATTGTTCTATGCTAGATGAAGAGGGGTGTTAATAGGTGTTGTTAGAAAACGTTTATGACACAAAATAAGAGTTTTTCATCAAAGCATAGTCTAGATCTACCAGAATGATTCAATTTCACCTCTCCTGAAGAAACCCCCAAGTTCGTGTATGAACCTTTTTATTTTATTTTGTTTTAAAAGGAATCCTTAATTGGGAAGAATACTGTCTAGGAATAAATTATATTATATTATAATATAAATTATATTATACAATTGACTTTTGTGTTTCTCAAAGCAGTCTAAATTGCTTATAGCACCTGTAATAAACACAGATGAAACAGGTGCAGATGAAATCAACATTTTGTTTTCCTGTAGCTCTACAGTTACCTATTTACACGTTTTCATAATACTCATTATTATATAATATTTACTATCATATGGAATACTAGGACCACCTTGTTCCTATCTGTTTTATTTACATTCACTTTTAAAACACAGAAACTATTTTTTTCCATCAGCAGTAACTGTGTAACATTTGAAATCAAAATTTACAACAAATTTTATAACACTCAAAAGGTATAAACTTTGGACATTTTAAAAAATGTTCCTAATGTGAAACATTTTTGTAATTCATGCTGCCGATTCATATAAAATATCTTTTAAAAGTAAATATTTAACAAATTTTTTTTACAGGAATTTTCATCCTAGGAAAATATTTTTCAGGTAAAACAAACTAATGATAACAAAATAATTGCATACTTGAATATTGCGCCAAACATAAACATAATGCCAAACCTTTCTCAGGAATTTATTCATATTTTGAGTTTTTAATGGAGTCAGTGTTTACTTATACTTTTTTTGCATTAAAAGACATTTTGTGCTATCATGGGAATTCTCCTATTCATATATTTATATATAATCTTTATGTAAAGTTTTAATTCATTTTATTGGCCATTTCCCCAAGACAGGTCAAACCTTCTAAGAATAGTGAACTTGGGCATTTTTAGAAGTTTGTATCTACTGTAGCAATCAAATGAACTTTATTCCTGTTGTGGACAACTGTTGTTTGACCAGTGCATGAGAAACTCTTTTTAGGTGTGGGGAACAACCACTGGATTATAGTGACCCATTGTATGCAGTCTTAATAGGACTATCAATCACGCTGCTGCACAATCCTCTGACAAACAGATAGGTGTATGTCCTGAGGATTTGTGTCTGAATCCAGTGGTATTTACTCATTCCAGCATTAAAGCTTTGCAAAGACTGTCAGTTCCAGCCACCTTGATCTTTGGAACCACCTTGTATTAACTTTCTGAACTTAATCCATCAGCATATTCTTCTCTTTATGTATATGTATGTGTGTGTGTGTATATATATATATATGTTTTTTTAATCTTTGTTTTATTAAATTACTGTTTCAAACTAAGAAGTGAAATTAATACAATTCCCTTCTAGTTTAACATGGAGTGCTATACAAGGCTCAAATACTGGATATTGCTGAGATTGAAGAAACATTATAATTGTATTTCCTTATAATTCACACAAAAATTATTGGTTAGAATTTTCTCAAAGTCACACAAACACCTCTCCAAATTTACACTCTCAGTTAAACATTCTGGCAAATGCATTCTATTTATAAGTAAAGAAATATGGAAAGAATAACTATATTTTTGATTAATATGAAGCCATAAAAGGAAGAGTGCTTCTGTTGTCTTCACTTTTTAGTGTGCAAAGCCTTTTTTGTGTGTACAGAGAAAATATCAGCTCTGTGGTAGAAGAATGAGCATTCAACATTTGTTCTTTAATGAAAAGCAGTGTATAGAACAGTTCAGGTCACATAATCAAATATCCTGGCTTTATTGAAAAAGACTCAAAATTCAGGGCAAGCACACAATAATGGGGTCAGTCCAAATCTTTACTGAGAACATTTCCAAGTTTTCAGGAATAAAATGAATTCTGAAATGTTAGCATGAAGCCCAATGGACCACAGAAATTTTATATCACTAATTTTAGAGATTCAGGACTCCCATAAAATAAGCTGACAGAATTCCACTTACTGACTTCAAAGCACCTCTTGGGAGTTTTATCCTACTGTCACTTGAAATCCCTGATACTTAAAATCAAGAACTTTCCCAATGAAAATCAGATTCACCCAAAAGAACATGATGTCTACTCTGTCACTGTGTTTGGTGATCCAAAAATAAAGCTCAGGATAAAAAGAAAGAGACATATTTTCACAATTTCACTAAAATCACTTTATCACCAAAGCTATTATTTCCCTTCCGTGGTCTATCTTCATTGCAGCAGGCTAGTCTCATTGTGACACAGCATCAACACACTAATCTGGTGAGCATTTTGTTACTCTAAGCACAAGCACATGAATAGTGTCAAACACGACAAAATATGAAAGAAAAATTTTCCCATCAATAACCCAAGCACGAAGCCTGGCCTACAGTTCTCATTTTCTAAATAAGGAAATAAGTGCCTACTTTTATTTCTAGCAAAGGCACTACTGTGTTATAAATGAAACATGCCAATTCGTTTTCTTGAATCCTTTTACATATTATAATTTTAATTGACAAATTGCCAGTAAATTTATTTTCTGCGGAAACTTGTTTTTGAAAACCATATTATTTAATTAAGTTTTATGCCTTCATATTTGTTTTTAAAAGTCTCAGTTGTTTTAATAAGACCATACAGTCTTATTAAAAATTAGTAAAATATTGAAGGTGATGAAAATTAAGTGAGGTAAAACATTAATTTATTAGATGTTTTCTTTTTTTTTTTTTTTGAGTTGGAGTCTCACTGTCGCCCAGACTGAAGTGCAGTGGCCACTCCCGGCCACCACAGCCTCGACCTGCTGGGCTCCGGCGATCCTTCCGCCTCAGCCTTCCAAGTAGCTGGAACTACAGGTGTGTGCTACCACACCCGGCTTTAGATGTTTTCTGTGTATAATACACCATATTATACCCATTTAAATCTCTATCTTTCTGTTTCTCCTTCCCTCTCTACCCCTCATATTATGTATACAATCATACCTATATCTACACAAATATATGTGTCTTAGATCTACTGAATTAACTCTATACACATATTTTCCTAAGATGAAAAGGAAAAACTTCAGAATATATGTTTCAGAGTGGCATGAAAGTAGGAATCAAGAATATATCATATTTCATGTATATATTTGTTCTAAAAATGCCCGATAAATTATGCTTGAGATCCAGTGATATAATTATAACTTCGAATATACTAGGTTTACAAGATATGATTACAGACAAATAATCATCTGAACTGAGAAGTATAATTTATCTTAAGGAAAAGTTTGCCTTTATTTTGTTTCCAAAACAGTCTTTATAAAAGACTATAATCAAGTCTATGAAATAATATTTGTTGCCCAACATGCCGTGCTATAAACTTGACATAGTAACTGAGATTTTTCTCTTCTCCTGATTTGTTCTTTATTCCTCTTTCTTTCCCTGCATTCTACCTCTTTCTTTTTTATACTACCTTTAAGATTTTACAAAATATAATATATTGTATATACAATATAATGAGCAATTCAAAAATGTTTTTTTAAATCACTACAACAACCAGAGTAAATAAATATTTATTTTTAACGCAGTTCTCATTTTTTTAATTGGAGGAAATGGAGTGTTTGACATGAAAGAAAAACCACCCAACTCAGTGCAAACTGTCCATGGCTAAATGCAAATCAGACTCCAGTCTAGTCCAGATCATGTTCTCCAAGAAGAAAGTCTAACTCATATTTTCTGAGTTTATTTTTAAGACAAGCTTTATTTAACTTTCTACTAAAGTAAGTTGATTTTCTGTAAGTCATTTTCCACCTGCATGAATTAGCAATGTTGTTCTCCTTAAAAGTCTTAGTTAGTCTAAAGTAACACTCTTTTCATAAATGTATAAATACACGGTCCCTACTGCACAATCTATTTGTATTTGTTGAAATAAATGTTCCCATTTTTTAACATTTTATTTATCACACATTCCCTTACTCTAGGCCATAGGTGAATAAAAATATATATAAAGTCATTTTATAACTAGTGTCAATCCAGAGTTTTATTTTTTATTTATTTTTACTTATTTATTTTTTGAGTTGAAGTCTCACTCTGTTTGCCAGACTGGAGTGCAGTGGCCGCTCCTGGCCACCACAGCCTCGACCTGCTGGTCTCTGGTGATCCTTCCGTTTTAATAAATATGTTCCATAATGAACCCAGACAAAAATAACTATTCGAAACCTCACTAGAGTATCTTTTTCAAACCTCCCCGCCCATGTTTTATCTTACAAGAATTTTACCCTTAGGAGGTCACTTTTGTTGGTTCACAATCCTTTCACATTCACAAAATTCTTGCAGTGGTTCTCAGTGGGAGAGTACCACAACACTAGAAGGAAGTGAGCATGTTTGTAGAGGTTTTTCAGTTGTCTCACGATTGGGGAGTACAGGCTTTTGGTTATCACCCCAACCCAAGACTGTCAAATGTTTCCTATAGAAAATGATTACCTCTAAGCATTACATACCCACTATGCTCCAGATATTATTCAAAGCAATTGAGGGGCAAAGACAAATTTATTCATTCTATGTGTATGAAGCAGCTGCATTGCGCTGGGTGTTTGGCCTTTGGAAAGCAGCAAATGAAATGTATTAAATGTGTTTTAAAAAAAAAGAAAAAGAAAGGAATTGCCTCACACATTGTACAACCTTGAAATGTCCTACCAGACACTTAGGATCTCACATGTTCAAACTTCAAGCATGGTCGTACTCTGAACAGGTGCAATCCCTAGTGATGTTGATCCAATTTTAATGGACATTATTTCCCTCTCCATTTTGCCATCAGACAGAGTGTTTGGTTAGTACATTTCTATTCCAGAGGTGGGCTCTTCCTCTGTTCTTTATTTCCCTATAATTCTTGCACAAAACAACTTCTAATCTTATTTCTCATAGATTCAAACTTTCACGATATGTGGCATCTGAGCATTCTTCTTAACAATACATATTTTATTGCACCTAACTTTTTTTTCTTATCTCTTCTTTAAATTACAGCTAGATGATTAATAATATATTTTTTTAAAGTATGTACCTAGGGAGACTCTATTATTTATAAATTTTATATCAGAATTGAAAATGAAGTGTCCATTGCTTAATGTATAAAGGAGAAATGTTGGACCTGATAGGCATGAAAACCACTGGTCTAATGCAACTCATGTACATATTATCTTAAATCATGCCACTGATAGACTTGAGGTGAATTGATTTAATATTTACAGGTGAAAGCAGGCAGTGTTTGTCAAGTGGCTCTATCTTCTTATTTCTCAGAAGAATTTTTTTTAGCATGATGTGATCATTAATGCATGGTGATATTTGGTTTTAGAGTTAAAATGTGGGCATATTGCTCTACTAAATATCAATATGCATTAAACTATAAGGAAGCACTTAAATGTTGACCCAGGTTTCCTATGCAATCAGTCGAGGACGCTAAGATAGCAGCAATATAAATGAATTCAGTGGGCTGGTGTGGGCTACAGTAAAGTTGATTAAATATGATCCATCTCAAAATGACTACTGTTATCCATATCCATCATATTGTTTCCATGCATAAATGTGGGGTGAGAATTATTAAGTCTATATATTTTAAAAGTGAAAACAGAAATCATGATCTTAATTTTTAATAAAACATTTCTTGGGCCAAATACAAGAAGTCTGGGGCAGAGAGTACATGTATACTATTAGAGTATCTGACTTGAGAGCATAATAAATGCTACCCATTAAAGCAAAGAGACATTTTAAGCAATAACACACAGTAATTTATTTGAATAGAAAGAGGCACTTTGTTCTATTGCTCTTGCTGTTTCTATTTGGACATATTTATTCATAAAGTGTTACATCATTTTTGCTTCTAAAAATGATGTGGTATATGTTCAGAATAAGGTTTTGAACTGAAATATACAAGTGATATTCTTTATCTCTAGCCTGTAGCAATAATATTTAGGGATTAAGTAGTATTATAGACAAATAGATAAAATGCAAAGTTAAAATATTGACATTTTTATTACAATTCAAAGAATATAAACTTTGTTATCTTCCTAGTTAAAAACAGCAGGTGGTTGTGTAATAAAGGAGCCCAAATAATGTTGCAATTTGTATTATCAAAATAAAATTCATTTAATAGATTTCTTACAGTAGTGCTGACTTCCCAACTTAGAAAGAAAAGAAAAATAATGCATCAGAACCAAGAGAATTTCTGAAAGAAGTTCAAAAGGATTTCAACTGATTGATTTGTGTTATGTGAAGCTTTTAAAAGGAATATTAACTTATGCTGTCCTGACCTAATAAGTCAAGAATTGGAATGAAATTTCCTACCTCATCCATTTATATTGTTTTCCTAAACACATTTAACAATAAGTCAAGCTTGTGGAAAATAATGGATTTGAGAATGTCCTGCAAATATATTTTAGCTTAAATACAAATTAATATTTTTAAACTTGGGTAGTCACTAAACTCAGAATGTGGCTGCATCCCAAAACTCTGTTTTACTATGACTGCTAGTGAAATCTTGCCCTTGATTTTGCTGGTGAACAGCATGGATGAAAGGTTAAACTCTCTTGGGTCAAGAGAAATTAAACAGACAAAGTTAGAGAATCTCTTCAGTTTTGTCTACACTTTGTAAAAATAATTCTGTATAAAATTTTAATACTGACCCATGAATACCAGTGACAAGGAAGATCAAATTTCCATTGATCTTGGTGCAGTTTATGAATTTGTCAATGTTACTGGAATCCACAGTCTGAGCTGACATCAATGATCCTGTGCCAATGCCATCACAAGCTGTAGAAACAAGACTCACAGTCAGGGAATTGAGAAATTTAATTTAGCCAATAACTCGTTGCAATTTCATTATAAAATAGCAGTATTTTTCATTACAAAATGAAAAGAAGTATATTGCAAAAGACAATTTTTTCTAAAAAGTAAAATAATCATCCATTCATTCAAAATTTACAATAGACCCTACTTTAAAACACTGTCCCTGTATTACAGTCTAGTGACCATGACTCATTGTAAGGACTAGATTTTATATCAAGACCCAGCACATACACAAAGCACACATGTAACTCAAACAAAACCTCCATCCATCAGTAGTCTCCCTTACTACACAAGCTATTTCCTAATCTATTCTAAAGCATTATTTATTTTTATTTTTTTTATTTTTATTTTTTTTTTGAGTTGGAATCTCACTCTGTCGCCCAGACTGGAGTGCAGTGGCCGCTCCCGGCCACCGCAGCTTCGACCTGCTGGGTTCCGGTGATCCTTCCACCTCAGCCTCCCCAGTAGCTGGAATTACAGGCGTGCGCTACCACGCCCAGTTGATTTTTTTTTTTTTATTTATTGTAGAGATGAGGTCTTGCTGCCCAGGCGGGTCTCGCACCCGCGGGCTCAGGCAATCCACTCACCTCAGCCTCCCAAAGGCGCGGGATTATAGGCTGAGCCACCGAGCCCGGCTTAAAACATTATTTTTAATGCTTTTTAAAATGTTGGTCATTTTAGTGAAATAGATTCATGGACTATATTCAAGTGGTCTACAACTTGCAATTAAAAAAAAAAAGAACTGGTCTAATAGAGAATATATTAAACAAAGAATACTAATGGTGTGAACAGTAACCAGAGTCAAGGACCATTCAAATACTTATACTTAAATATTACCTAGGCTTTCTGAAGGTTCTTCTTTAAAAACAAAAAACTGTGTGTATGTGTGTATGTGTGTGTGTGTGTGTGTGTGTGTGTGTGTGTGTGTGTGTGTGTGTAGAAAAAGAGGGAGGGAGAGTAAACAGGAAGAGAGAGCAAGAGTGAGAGAGAGAAAGAGAGAGAGAATACAGTCTAAAAGTCAGTCTGAAGTTTGGCCTTCTTGATGCTTTGCAAAGCTTAATAACATTCAGGAGATATTAACTGCAATTTTGTCCTGCTTTTTTGAGTTTCTGTCCAGTGAAAAACTGGAGAAGTTGTAGCTGGAAAGAATCGCTTCCTCCATGAAAATTCCATGGCACAAATTTTCCACAATATTTATTTACCACTTATGGTAAATTTCCTTGTTATTTCCTATATCTTATTTTTACTTTTTTTTTTTTTTTTTTTTTGAGTTGGAGTCTCACTCTGTCACCCAGGCTGGAGTGCAGTGGCACACTCATGGCCACCTCAGCATCGACCTGCTGGGCTCCGGTGATCCTTCTGCCTCCAAGTATCTGGAACTACAGGTGCGCGCTACCATGCCCGGTTAATCTTTTTTAAAAATTTTATTGTAGAGACGAGGTCTCGCAAAGTTACCCAGGCTGGTCTTGAACCCGTGTGCTCAGGCAATCCACTGACCTCAGCCTCTCAAAGTGCAGGGATTATAGGCTGAGCCACTGAGCCTGTCATTTTTCAAAATATTTTTTAAGATCTAGAGACTAACTGTCATGTTGCATGTCCCTTTGTGTCTCTTTTTATGCTTAACAGACTATTTTGCATATGGTGGCAAGCAACCACAAGACGTGTTGTGTTGCTAACATAACCATGTGAATGCATGTTTTACAAAACTTCTAATACTTGCTATTGATGGAATAAAATGCAACATATTTCTGAGTTCCTATAAAGTTACCTCTGAGTATTATGTAGAACATTTTAGTAGATATAACTTCAAAAACAATAATACACACTGTTATGACAGTTGATACTTTGAGGAACTTTCCAAAGTCGTGGAAAGCGTGTGTGTACAGGTTTAGCTGTGAAGTGGATGGGGTCTATTAAAAAGTGAACTAAAAACCTCAATATAGGCTCCTGTTCTAACCAAAATAATCTGAGCTTTCACTCACCTTTTGGGCAAATATCAGTGCAAGGTTTACACATTTTAATTCCATTTTCTTCTACTTCCATCTTGGAGCTCGGGCAAGCACGCACACAAGAACTGGAATCCACCACAAAGTTATCTAAGTTTAAAAAAATATATAAGAACAATAATATTAATATTTAACAAGCAGATTCAAAGCCAGATATTTTAGGGTTTGAAAGTGATTAGCATCATTTATAGCGTATATGTTTCTTCCCCTAAAACAAATCCTTGTTTAAATATCTCAATCTGAAACTGTATCTCAAGTTCAAATCCAAGAGCAGTGTGTGTTGACAATAACTAGGACTTGCTTGGCTACTGCTCCACATCCTGAATTGCCCCGAAGGTAGAGTGGATTTCTTTTATAGACTTAGGAAACTATGATATTTAGTTTGTGTTTTTCAACAGTTCCACTTCATTTCATATCATGATGCAAGTTCGAAGTCTAAAAATACTTGAAGTTCAAGAAGCACAGATGAAACTTAAGTTGAACTGCCTTGGCTCAAGTGTGCACTTCATATCCAGGAGAAAATTGTTTAGAATGCATTCATTTTTCAATGGAGCACCACCAAAAATCTGGTATTTTTATATGAAGAGACAAAATGTGAAAGGGCAGTACTTTAAATGCCAAATAGACAAGGGACATCTCACTACATAACACTTAGGTGAAATATTTAGGAGTCCAGTGACCTGGGATATGATAGGAAATTCTCTCCAAAATCTTGCATCTAGAGTCTCCCTCAATGCGGGGGTGGGAAATGCAATACCTGCTAGGCCACTCTGGTTGCAAGGGCAGCATCCTTCCACGCCTGGAGCACAGCTCTGACACCATGCCATGGTATGGAAGGCTTCTAACCTTGAGGGGTACCCAGAGCCATAAAGGGATGTGGTGCAGATCCAGGATGGAGTGAAAGCAATTTTGCTACTTGGGCCATAAACCTCCAAGTGGCTCCATGATATACAAAGTACCTATGGTAGGAAAATATGGCCTATGATGTATGGCAAGTCTTAAATGGAAAATTACAACAGATAACTCTTGGTTTCTGAGTTAAGCCATTCTATCTGCAGCATAGGATGGTATCCCATTTAATAACAGCTCCCGACATGCTTCTGGGTCCTGATAAGGTTGCAGCACCTAGCCAGGGGTCACTGATTGACCTTGAAGACAGAATTGCCCATCACAAACAGGGTTTTGCTATAATGTCCCAATGTCATAATGTGGGACAGGTCCAACAGCAATCCCTTGTAAAATCAAAGCAGTGCATTTGGGATTGGATATGAATGGGGGCAGAAGCGCAAGTAAACTGCACAAGCAGATGATTCAGACCCCTCCCATGTCATCCACCAATGGGCTGGCCCCTCTCAGTCAGCTCATATGTATGAATGCATGGGGACCAAGAAAGGCACAACAAGCTGACAAAGGAAGACAAAACCCAAGCTTGGTATGTGGATGCCAGCTGGAAATGGATGGCAGCTTCTTACTTAGGAATGGACTTGACAGTGGCAAGAGAAAATCCTATTAAATGGTTTAGTTCTGGGTAGCACAACTGATCACTCACTTTGTGTGGAAAGAGAAGTAGCCTGAGCTAAGAATCTATTTGGACACATGAGCAGTGGCTTTCCCTGAGAGGAGAATTACTGGGAAATCTGATTTAAAAAAGCAAGTCTAGCTGGGCTCGGTGGCTCAGCCTGTAATCCCAGCACTTTGGGAGGCTGAGATGAGTGGATTGCCTGAGCCCTGGGTTCGAGACCAGCCTGGGCAACTTGGTGAGACCTCATCTCTACAATAAATTAAAAAAATCAGCTGGGCGTGGTAGCGCGTGCCTGTAGTTCCAGCTACTTGGAAGGCTGAGGTGGAAGGATCACTGGAGCCCAGCAGGTGGAGGCTGTGGTGGCCGGGAGCAGCCACTGCACTTCAGTCTGGGTGACAGAGTGAGACTCCAACTCAAAAAAAAAAAAAAAAAAAAAAGCAAGGCTAGGTGAAGGAATATTAAGACCTTGTATTAATATTCACTAGAAAGTATCCACCACCAAGTTAACATCCACCAGAAGGCATCTACCACAACAGAAGTAACTTTGTTGAGTTGATATCAAAGCCCAATCTTGCCTCTTTCCCTCCACCACAAGTGCTGATTCTGAGAATATCCCTTCTTCACTTGATCTCTATTTCAGGGAAAAACCAACTGTAACAGGTGAACATACCATATACTAAGTAGTCATTCTTTCTTCATGGTTTTGGAAAATACCCTATGATTAAATGCTTTCACATTTTTGCAACAATTTTTGTTGAGTGGTATAAAAATTATAATTAGCCTATGTGAATTCAGTTCCAGTCTTACAGACAAATTAGTTTTTAAAAAATATGTGTTTGAAGTTTTTAGATTTCAGAATTCTGAATTACATTTAGAATGTCTTAATGTCCTTGTTTTCCCAAGAAAGCTACGGTTCAGCAAACCAAGCTTTGTGAGCCAGGCCCATCAGATAATTGAATTTTTATAGTAGACAAAAGCTGAAATGTTTAAAAGTAGCCTGTAAGTTGATGCACATAAATTAATCCAAGACAAAAAAGTTTGTAAATTACCATATCTAAAGTAAACTGGCCATGTAATTTCACAAAATAGTTCTCCGTGTTTGACCTCTTGCCATAACTCAGAGTTGAGACTCTTCAGGTAAAGCACCATAAAGGATATAGTGAAGAAAAGGAGAATTCTCTAGTTCAAATTTACCGAGTACTTCTTCACCTCTAGCCCAACTCCTAGGCTTCACCCTCGGGATGTGGATAAAAAGGAAAGCCCCAAAAAGTCTCCAAAAAATTATAGTTTTGACTGTCCTTGGGGAAATGTACCCTAATTTGAAGGTAGTAAGAGTAGGTAGTAGGATAGTATTTTTCTGAGAAAAGGAACAATAGATCATCTCAGACCATCTTACTGTACTTCAAGTCCTCACTTTCGTAAGAATGGTAGATGGGTACACACGGGTGACTTCAAATGAAAAGTTATTAGACAGAAAACAGTGGCTTGTGCCTTTAAAATGCTAATTCAGAGGCATGCTAAACATATAAATCATATATATATATATATGTTGCTGGGCACAGTGGCTCATGCCTATAATCCCAGCACGTGGGAGGCCGAGGTGAGAGGATTGCCTGAGCCCAGTTTTGAGGCCAGCCTGGGCAAATTGGCAAGATCTCATCTCTATAATAAATCAAAAAATTATTCACACATAAGTACTTAACAGTGAAAAATATGGCATACCCTTATCAGATGGGAAAAAAAAAAACATGCTCAGAGTCACTAAGTTGCATAGCAGCATCACCAAGATACCTATATCAGTTCTTGAACACCAGCAACAATAAACAAAAACAGGTTTTCAGTCTCTACCTATGATGCTGTGTTTCAAATAAAAGATGACTGTATACTGCTTTGCTTTTTCAAAGATAAGAAAGAACATCAGGAGCAGTTGAGGGACCAAGTAGTGGATCCTCTAGGAATGAGGAGGCATTCTGCGGGATGGCTTTTTAAAATGTGTTTTCTAGAGTCATCTGCCTGATTAACAAATTTTGTCTTAGAAGTCTGCCCTTGATTTCATAATCTGACATGATTTCTTGCCTGTTATGAATGCATACTGCTCCAGTCCTTCAATAGACTCATCACAAGTAATCTATAGGCACTTAGTCTGCAGTGTTAAAAACATCTTGACTGGGCATGGTGGTTCACGCCCATAATCCCAGCACTTAGAGAGGCCAAGGCAAGAATATTTCTTGAGTCCAGGAGTTCAAGATCAGCCTAGGCAACAGAGTGAGACCTCTTCTCTACCAAAACCAAAAACACAAAAAAGTAAACCGAGCATGGTTGCATGTGCCTAAGTCCCAGTTACTCAAGCTGCTGAGGGGAAAAGCTCACCTGAGCCCTGGAGGTTTAGGCTGCAGTGAGCTGTGATCATGCCACTGAACTCTAGCATGGGCAACAGAGTGAGATCCCAACTCAAAAGAGGAAGAGAGAGAGTTGAGGGAGAGAAAGAAGGAGAGGGAGATGGAGAGGGAGAGAAAGAAAGAAAGAAAGAAAGAAAGAAAGAAAGAAAGAAAGAAAGAAAGAAAGAAAGAAAGAAAGAAAGAAAGAAAAACATAATCTTTATTGTCACTAATATCATGGCCACTTTGATTCAGAACCATTTTTGCTATTTCACCATTGGTCAATGAATGAACAACTGATTGAATCTTCATTATTGAAGTTAAAAACTTCTGTGATATCCACTTCTTCTAGCTTACTGATAGACTCTAAGGTGTATTTTCTTAAATATGAGGAGGTCATACATCATTTTTTCTTACGTGACATATGGAATCCTTCAAAGTAGCCACCATTTTTATCATCACCACTGAACAAATTCACAGGCCAGAGATTGTGCCAGGCCTGCATAGCTGTGTCTTTTGTTGATAATTAATATAGTGAAAAAATAATGTGTTCAGGATCACTAAACAGCACAGTGGCATCACTGAATACCTGTATTGGCTATTAAAAAGCAGCAACAAATTCCGACTACTCGGAAGGCTGAGGCAGAAGGATCGCCAGAGCCCAGCAGGCGAGGCTGCGGTGGCCAGGAGCGGCCACTGCACTCCAGTCTGGGCGACCGAGTGAGACTCCAACTCAAAAAAAAAAAAAAGCAGCAACAACAGATAATGGCAAGTTTTCACTCTTTGCCTACAATGCTGTGTTTTGATAAAAGTTACTATTTACTGCATTTATTTTTTTAGGTAAAAAGAAACATCAGAAGCAGTTAAGGGACTAAGGAGTGTTTCAATCACTGACAACGGCATGTATGGCAACCATTCCTGCTAAACTTTTGAAAACCTTCCACACCCACGCCTCTGTTCACTGAGGCTAGTGTGCTGTTCCATAAAGTGTTTTTGTATTACTCTTCATTGATCTAAGAATACTCTGGTTCCATGGCTAATGAATGGGGAAAGTACATGGCATAAACATTTTTTAAATGAGAATTTCAGCTGGAAGATGGGCATAAAAGTTGCCAAGGAATAACAAAATCTTGCAGCTGTCATTCAGCCCTGCTTCCCTGCACCGAGCACGCATGAGCCACTGGTGAAAAATGTTTGTGAAGCTGATCAGAAAAGAAGTCCCTGGAACAGCACGCTAGCCACAGTGAACAGAGGCATGGGTGTGGAAGGTTTTCAGAAGTTTAGCAGGAATGGTTGCCATATATGCTGTTGTCAGTGATCGGAACACTCCTTAGTCCCTTCATTGCTTCTGATGTTTCTTTTTATCTAAAAAAATAGATGCAGTGAATAGTAACCTTCTGGTGATCCATGCCTTTTTATGAGTATATAAAACTGAGGAGCAAGAAACTCACTCCTTGAAAACAGTGAGACTGGAAGCTTTCGCCTACCACAGCAAGATTACATGTATGTGTGCCTGTTGCATGAGCACATCTCAACACAGTTATTCTGCTTGGGCTTCCTTAATTCTGCAAGAGCTGTCTCACCAGCTGTAGTCAATGTCTTTCTGGGAGAACAATTACCAAACAGTGATGTTTCATCACCCTCGCAGACTTGTTTTTATGTCAGATTTTCATTAGCGATGACCTCTGCAGATCCATCGATGAATTTTTTACTCCGTGATGAAAGGAGTGTCACCACACACACTTCGTGATGAAAGGATTTGTCACCACAAATCACTAAAAAAAATCGATGCCATGCCTTTTCTTAAGTTTTTGCAACCAACCTGTTCAATGTTCACCATTCCCTTCAATTTTCAGCGCATCATGTTAGATCTTTGCTTGTTTCATGATCAGCGTACCAATATATGGCATGTGTTCACCTGTGCACTGATGCATTCACTTTCATTACACAACTTGGCTCTTCATTTTAGCTTTAGGCAGTGTTTTTCTATTTCTCATTAACTTCTTTTCATCATTTTTGGCATAGAACTTTTTAAAAAAATTTTAAAGATGTGGGGTACAGTTCAGGATTAGGTACATAAGTGGTCATCATACAGGTAAAGTTTGGTTCCCACTTTGACTGGTTTGAAATCAGGTACCCTTATTGATATTGTGTACCCCTTCCACCTGAGAAGTGTACCTCTACTGCCTATGCCTTTCTCATAGTATTATGGTAAATGTTCAGGGTCCGCTTATGTGTGAGAACATGTGGTACTCTATTCTTTGTTTCTGTGATAGATCACTGAGTATGATAAACTGTAAATCCATCCAAGCTGCTGCAAAGTCCATATGCTTTTCCTTCTTTATGGCTGAGTAATATTCCATTCCGTATATGTACCACATCTATTTTACCCAGTCCAGTTTCAATGAGCAGTACGGTAGGTTCCATGGTTTTGCTATTGTGAATAGTGCTGCAATAAATGTGCATGTGCAGGTATCTTTTTGTAGAATGATTTGAGTTCCTCTGGGTATAGTCCCAGTAGGGGGATTTCTGGATCACACGGAAGGTCAATTTCTAGATCTTTTAGAATTCGTCACACTGTTTTCCATAGAGGTTGAACTAGTTTGCATTCTCGCCAACATTTTAAAAGTGTTCCCTTTTCTCCACATCCTCACCAGCATCTGTTGTTGTTTGTTTTATTAATGATGGCCATTCTTCCTGGGGTTAGATGGTATCTCAATGTGGTTTTGATTTGAATTTCTCTGATGATGAGTGAGGCTGAGCACTTTCTCATGTGTAGCAGAGAACTTTAACAGTTTTTCTTTCTGTTTCTTCAGGTCATATATGATGGTCTTCCGTAAGACATCTCATACTTACACTGCTGTCCAGTTTCTCATTTCTGTGCTACAGATAAACATTAATGTTTCCTCTTGTCACTGTTACCTATAGCAATATCCGCAGGCCTTTTTGACATTTTCGACAATTTCTTTACACCACAAAGCAGAATAAATGACAAAAAAACACAGTGAATAATGCACATAGGTCTTGGCCCCATGTGGGACATCATGGACGGAACCTATCACTGGTGTTCCTGGCCTATACACATAACATTTTATTATCCTTTGGGGGAGTGCGTCCCTGAGAAAATCGAAGCATGCATGAAAAAGATGTCTCACAGTTGAAGGAGACTGAAAGGGTCTTTTTCTCCCCTTGGGAACACCGAATAAACTGTGTGTAGTGTATCTGCATTTTAACTGTGACCCATCCCATAAAGTCAGGTGTGGAAATGTTTACATATGGCATCATGCTGATGTTCTAAAGGTTTCAAATTTAGAAAAAATTAGGATTTTAATCGCTGGATTAAGGATGCTCAACATGTACTTCCTACGGAATCTCATATACAAAGTTAAGAAAGGCCCATTCTCTGTGTGCTACAAATTGCAAAACGTTTAATAAAGTGAAGTAGGTGAGAAATGTAGTGATTTTTTTTCAGCTTATCCAGTTGATAAAACACCAAGGAAATGTTCCATTGGTCACTCAGAGCAAATAAATCAACTCAAGCAAATACCGAGACATATACTGAAAGTCTAATGAAAGCTAATCTAATCATTTTGAATCCTCAGTATGAGTGATCAGTTTTGCAAAGATCCCTTAATAAACCCTCTATATCTAATACTTTTGTTTAAAATTAGGTTTGATATTTGAATCAAAATGCTAGATTTTCATACACTTGTTTTTTTTGTTGTTGTTTTTTTGAGTTGGAGTCTCACTCCATCACACAGGCTGGAGTGCAGTGGCACATTCATGGCCACCCCAGCATTGACCTGCTGGACTCTGGTGATCCTTCCCTCTCAGCCTTCCAAGTAGTCAGAACTACAGGTGCATGTTACTATGCCTGGCTAAATTTTGATTTGTTGTACAGATGAGGTCTCACCAAGTTGCCGAGACAGATCTCAAACCTGTGGGCTCAGACAATACACTTGCCTCGGCCTCCCAAAGTGCTAGGAAGACAGGTTGAGCCGATGAGCCCAGTCAAAAATGCTAGATTTTCGAGTACACATAAGTAATTACTGGTAAATCTTATTCTCACTAGAAGATTCTGTTCATTACATAGCTTGCTGCCACTTAAACACTTACTTTTCTGAAAAAATTTATGATATGCAAAAGTATTGAGGTAGATTGAAAACAAGAAGAGTTTATAAGTCAACAACAAATCACTCTACCCCACACGTCATTCCTTTGTTATGAAACTTTAGACCAGTCACTTAAATTTTGAGATTAGTTTCTTTATTTGTAAAATAGGGGTGATAATACCCATATCCAAAGTAATTCATGACATTTTTACAATTTTCAAATTAAATTGAACTTACATGAAATGTCTTTTATGCTAAATAATAACCTAATTAATTTGGTTATTGTTATTCTGTACTTACGTGGGCATTTCTTGACACAGAATGCTCCATACGTGTACTTTGCATTGAAGTTGTGCTCCAACTGAAAGGTGGTTGGATTGTAGACAAAGGTTTGGGGACACTGAGTAACACATGCTCCACTGTCATTGAAATTCATGCAGGCCTGCAACAAGCAAATATTACTTTTATTTACAAACAACCTTCATAATACATGATTAAAAAACACTGCCATAGCAGTGAGAATGTTGTGTTCTTTACTTAGTATAAAATAATTTTACGAATACTACAAAGTTGGATAATTTTATAGTCATGTGTGTTTCTAAAATTTCACAAATTTTTTTTTCCTGTGTCAATAAATATACCATTTATGGTTACTGATGGTCAAATTGCTTAGTATCTATCCACTAACTTCTAAATTGAGAATTGGTTTAAATTATAAACTTAGCTAATAGTAAAAACTTATGGAAGCCCACAATTATTCAAAGCATTTATATCTAGTTTTAGGGTTCGACATTGACAACTAAGCCTCCAGTTCTACAGGCTAGATTTTCATTTGAGCTGGTATTTTAGAGAGCTCAGCATCTTAAGTAACATAGTAAACAAAATTATTACCAGTGGATAATGAAAATACATTGTGATGGTCATTTAAGTTGGACTTAAAGAAAAGGCTCTGGCAGGTAACTAGGACAAGTATAAATGAAGTGTGTGTAAAATTGAAAAGACATAACTAGCTATAGTTAGCCTGTTATTAAATAATATGATGCTATTTTATATCTCTTATTTCATAAGTCTACACCATTTAGTAAAAACCATCATGTTGAAGTAAGACAGTTTATTTCTTTTGACTTACACATTTGAATGAAGAATTCAATTTATTAATATTTTCAAATTCATTTAAGAAGATTAATAACCATTTTACCCCCTGGGAATTAACTATTTGCTATAGAAAGAGAGCATATGTATAAATACATATAAATATGTGATTAACAAAAGTGTGGATGAACTAATTCTTTTAATTAATAAATTAAACCTTTTAAAGAATAACTTAGATTTTGGAAGGCAAGCTCATGTGAACTCAAGCTATGATTTACATTTCATCATAAATAGTGCATATGGTTATTAATAAGCAATAATTTATTCTATTTCCTCAAAACATTCGCCTCATCAATTGTTGTTTTAGCAAGCACTTTATCATAAACATGACAATTCCCTGATGATAGTCTACTAGATGCATAATCAGAATGAGACTTACTGATGATACATTATTCACTAAGATGACACGTTCTAGGAAGAATCTATTAAAAACCAATCTAGAAAACTCAGTAAGTTTTAATTTATAGCTATAAAACTTCATGTGTCCTTATAATTGCTTTACTAACACACTTTATGCAATGTTGTGCACAGATTGCTTGGGAACAAAGGAACATAAGTCAGAGGAATAAAACAAATCTACCCTTCAGACAGCAAACGAAACAACGTAACTTACACCAAGGCCTGGGTCTGGTATCCTTGAACATTCCATACCAAACGCCAAAGTGGAATCACTGGACCATTTCATGAATGTAATGAAATGATAATCTGAAGCTCACTCAGCACTGTGCTTATCATGATAATGGAATCATGAAAAAAATACAGTACAAAACTTCTAAGAGAGAGTGTTTGCTATTTTTTATGGTTATTGTTTTGGCATTTTTAATGCAACATCTGTGTCAGTGTCCTCAAAATCAAACTTCCATCTTATGTCTGAGATAGACAAGGAAAGGTTCTCAGTTCAAGACTTTCTGAGACTTTCTTTCAATTTTCAACATTTTTGGTTTCCTTTCTTCCTTCCCCCTATTCACGTAGAATTAAGGTAGAGTATTTTTTATGATATTAAGAAAACTAAGAAATTATTATCTTAACACAAAAGCCTTAATTTATATTTTGCTCTTTTCTGAAATTAAGTGTCAATTTGAAAAAATACTCCATTCTACTATATATATCTGTTAGCTATTCGAGGAGAGGAAAAAAGAAAATAAATATCTGTGTTCATTTTTAGCTGTAAAAAAGATTGCTTATTTTTATGATCTTTAGCTTAAAAATGAAACTAGCATTCTGTGTCTAGGAAATTAACTATAACTCACAGAATTGCTTCTATGTATTCCAAAGAACAAAAAGAACTGTATCTGGAATATGATATCAAAATGTAATTATAACTGTCCCCAGCAAACTATAAATGTAAATTTTAAGAACGTTGAAGTGTCCTTTTCTAAAATGAAAATCATATATATTAGCATATAAATTACTTTAAATGTGCATTTGACAATATTAAACTTTTTGAATAAGATCAATGAACAAACAATATAAACTAGAGAATACTTAAATCTCTAATTTTATCTGTTATAATCTTGAAATTATATTCAAGAAGTAAAAAAAAAATTGCCCCCACTCAGGACTCAAAGATGCAAGAACATAAACAGGTAATCACTGCATTTTTGGAAAGGATGTTATAGTATTCTAAAATATATATATCTCCATATGTTCTCCAATAAAGCTCATTTGTCACATAAATTTTGTGAGAAAGATGCAGTTCATTTAATATAATGAAACAAAACTAGTTAATCAATAGTCAACTCAGTGAAGGAATGACTTTCACCATTTTTTTAAAATCCTAACATGGCTAAACTTGGTCTTATTGTAATAGGATATTAAAGTTTCAGTGTGCTTGAATTAAAGAGGGAAGGAAAGGAGAGCAGAATGAAAGAGAAAACACTCAGACATACAAAGCAGTCTGTGTCCTTCGGTCCCGAGCAGCCTCCGGCACATTCTCGATGGCAGCAGTCACTGACGTAGGGTCCATAGCATCTTCCGTCACATTGCTCTGCACACACCGTCCTTGTCACTGCAGAAGACAGAGATGGGCCTCAATCAAAGTCAGTTCACCAAAGAAACTCAGGTCATCTGGAGTCGCTGAGAAAAGCTGAAAACTGAAGTAACACTTTACTCCATCCATCCTTGACTCAATATGATAAATGTTTAATGAATGAAGTCTGCAAATAGATCAAAATGACTACACACAATGATTCAAAATAAACCTCATTGATTTTGTTTTTATGTTCCTTCTTGTTTGGCAAACAATTGTAGCATTTTACAACAATCATGCAACCTCACAAGAGAGAATTCAATCCATAACCAGGAGTGATGGAACCAAGAGTGATGGAGTGCCCCTGTAGACCCAGCTACTCAGGCAGCTGAGGTGGGAGGATCACTTGAATTCAGGACTTTGAAGAGGGTAGTGTGCTATGACTGTGCTATGAATAGAAACAGCAACACAGCAAAACCCTGTCTCTAAAATTAAAATGAAACTGAGATAACGTAATAAAGAATTTGGAAGGTTGGGAAAGGTGAAGCCAGTGTGCACAGTAAGATCCTATGGTAGAAGGTATTTCCAGAAATTGATCCTAAGACTTTCAGTAGTCAATACAGAAAAGGAAACATAAACTTTTACTTGATTCACAGGTGGCAAGAATTAAGGGGGGGGGAGAAGGAGGGAAGGAGGGAGGGAGGGAGGAAAAGAAAGAGAGGGAAGGAAGAGAGGGAAAGAGGGAGGGAGGACAGAGAGAGGGAATGATGAAACGAGGGAAGACAGGGAGGAAGGCAAAAAACCATTTATGGTCAGCAAAACAAAAAGTTTCACTGGTCTTTTCTTATAACATCCTTCAATCCAAGTTGACATCATATCAAGGTATATGTTAGTAAAAATCAGTTAAAAATGCTATAGAGTGTGCATCAAAATTATATTAATGAAGGACACAATTATCTCACTTATTTCAAAAATATCTTTTAAAGTCTTTAAGTATGAAATTCGCAGGACATGTGTAGCACATCACTTCATGGCTTCCATATTTCCACTTCAGCCTTGTTTCTTCCTACCTTTCAGACAGTTCTAGGCTTTTTTTGCTGCTACTTTACCAAGAATCTGGCTCTGCATCAGTATTCTCCAGATTTGGTCTTGACAATTTTGGGGGGAACTACGAGCTCATTCCTAGGTAAAAATCAGTCATCCACTGCTTTGCATACGGCCCCTAGTAAATAACTTTCAGATCCAGAACCAACTTCTCTCTGGAACCACAGCACATATTTCCAGCTGTCTACAGAAGTTCCCATTTAGCTATGCCAAGGCGTGTAAAATGGAATGCAACTCACTTTCCCACCCCCACCTTTGAGAAAACTTCTTGCCTTAGTCTCCTTATCCCATTTAATGGAGACATCATATATCCAGTAGCTCAGCTGGTAATTTAGGACACATTTTCTATGTTTTCTTACTCTCACCATCACTTCTCATCCCTAAAAATATTGTCACGCACCAGCAATTCTGTTTTCCAAAGATTCCTCGTTACTTTCTCTTCCCTCTATTCCAACTTTGATCAGAAAATTTTCTCTAAATTATTAAACAGCCTTTTAAACGCTTTCTCAGATCCCATCCTTTTCTTCCACTGAATCCTCCACACTGCTTTAAAATCAATAGCTTGAAAATATAAACCAATGCTTATAAATCAGTGTAGATTCACATTACGAAACTGGCCTTTTCTGTGCTACAGGGCCAAACCCTTAGCTAGGGATAAAAGTGCTCTATGAAGGAACCACCATCGCTGCCTCTTCAGGAATGTCACTACTCCCAGTCTGTTTCTGGCATCCAGTCAGGTAGAAATACCGCTTGAGATTCCTGATTCCTTGTACCCTATGCTGTTGTGATTCTCGTTGCTTTTTCACAAGATATTTCTCCAGACACATCTCCAAGTTGAGGTAGTCTCTCTTGCAGGAAGATACAGTTGATGTAGAATCTATGTAGTCTGAAGATCTAGGCTTAAATCCAGAATCTACTCATGTGACATGGGCATGTTATTTAATCACTCCATATTTTATTTCACCATTTTAAAGATGAATAGTTAGTTTAAGTCATATGTACGTTATTTGAAGTCATATATTGCCAACTCAGTGGAAGTATCTGTTGAGTGCTTAATGTACTTATCAAAGGGATACAAATAGGTAGAAAGTTAAAGAGGTAGGTCACTGAGAAAAGTAAATAGATAGATATTAAAGTACTAAGAAATAGAGCATATAAAAATGCAAATGATTTGGAATTATTGCTAGTATTCATTATTAGATTTCAAGGCTTCCAAAATTCTATTGTTGGTTATTTCATGATTCCATATTTTTACTTGGATCCATTTTAAGTGACTACGATGTTAATATTCATAAAATAATGCACAATGTTTAAATATAAAAATATATTTTCATTGCACATGATCTAATTACTCCCTATGTAGTACAATAAATATAAACATCAAATAGCGTTTAAATAAAGCAGCACTTGGACTCATCCTCTGTCTTGTTTTTGTCTTGTAAAAATAAAGTTACAGGATTTTTTAAAATCTAAAACTTATAAAATATTTTTAAAATTACCAACGTTTTGATCTAGGATTGTGAGGCTGTATTTTGAATTTGTAATTTGAGTTACTTTAAACTTTGAAATAAATTATTTCTTCTATAAGTATTCTAGTATAAAATTCTATATAATAAGTCAGTTTAGCCTACCCTTTCACCTTATTTAAGACTTTGTAGTGAAGTTTGTCCTTATTTAATACTGAATCTTTTACAAACAACTGACTCCTGATGGAACTTCTTTCTCTGTCTGTCTTTCTCTCTCTTTCTGGCTTTCTCTTCCTTCCTTCCTTCCTTCCTTCCTTCCTTCCTTCCTTCCTTCCTTCCTTCTTTCCTTCCTTCCTTCCTTCCTTCCGTCCTTCCTTTCTTCCCTCTTTCTTTCCTTCCTCCCTTCTCTCTCTTCCTTTCTTTTTTCTCCCTTCCTTCCTTCCTTTTTGATACAGCATCAATCACCACCTAACACACGTTACATTTATTTTGATTCTTGATGCATGCCAATGTTTAGAACTGTAATTGGCATTTATGCAATTTTATGTATATTTATATTTGATACATACATTATACATATATAGGTACCCAAGCAATTTATATCCATTCATAAACCCTTCTTGTCATATTGTCATGCATTATTCTTATACTGATGTTTCTATTTTTTAGTCAAGTAATATATTTGTTTAGCTGCCCTATTAGTAAAGCACATCATATACAGGTAACACTTTTAATAGCTTTGTAAAAAAACAAATTCAGACATAATCCCTCTCTTTCAGAATCAATAATGCTCTTTGATGTACCAAGAGTTGCTAATTTAAAAAAAGCAGACAAATGTTAAATAAACAAATTACAACATTTAAAAGAAGTGCTATCAAGACAGTCTACTAATTAGCTTCAGTTGATAGGTATTGTTCAGCTGGTAAACAGCAGAATGGAGTTTAGTCAACAAACATACTGTAAGTAACATCATTTTAATCCTAGACCCATTTGTGTGTTTTGATTTTTAACTGTATAGTGATTTAAAGTAAATATAGAAAATGTTTGTTTCCTTTTATTATTTCCTTTAGGTTTTCCTGCCATATGGGAAAATTACTATAGAAAATTATTTATTAAATGTTCATATTAAAATCATTTCTCTTGTTGAATATACTATTTAAATATGAAAAGAATATGTTACAAATAGAGTCTAACAGTACAATCTTAAGCTCAATAATAATTGTTATACTGTGAAACTATACAAATATGTACATTAAACTATTTAATGACGTGTCAATTTAACTTTAGCATTTTCAAAATAGCAATTTTGTATACAATGGTCAAATATTTCATATTTTTAAAGGCACTTTAATCTCAGATATTACATTTCATTTCAGAGACATGAAAAAAATTCCTTTAAATCATCATCCAAATGCAAATGCTTTCCAAAGTTTTGATTTAAGATGTTAAAAGGAAATTACGTTGCTTTTTCAAAAACAGTCTATATCTGATTTTTTCAAGTTGCATCAAACATTAAAAATAGTACTTTCCTCTATCAAGATTTTCACGTCTTAATTCCAAATGAAAATGCAGCTAGCATGAAGCATTTAGAATCTGACAGAAAGTAATAGGAGGTAAACAAAAAGAACAAAACAATAAGCTTAATCTTTAAAAACTTATGTGATAGAGCAAAGAATCATTTTTTACATTGTCACATGAGATTGTATGTAGAGAGAAAACATTCCCTTTGCACATCTCAAAGCTACATGCAGGGCCAGTGGAAGAACATACCATAAAGTAAATTTGTTCAGGAGCTTTTTTAAAAATAATAAGCATTACTTACATAATATCAATAAAGTTGCTGAATTATACCTATATTTTATTGTGCTAGACACACACACACAATTTCTGAAAATCAATCGGATAACTCAGTCACCATAGGAACATTAAGGCAATTGCTTTGGTTTTTATTAATTTCCATACTTGCTCAAATATTTCATTAAAATTTGTTTCCTTGTATTTAGTATCCTTTCTACATTGCTTCACTGGGTGAATTAAAATATCTGGGTCGAGTTTTAACTCATTTATTTTTTGAGTGGTGTACCACTAAATGTGTTTGTTTAATATAAAAGGTAAAAACTGGGAAGTTAAACTGCATATTATATTAGGATCAGTAAACTTGACATTGAGAATGGGAATTCATTCAAAATATTCATTAGAATCCAATGGGCAAAACTTAAGGAACCAACATTTCATGGAAAATGGATACTGCTGAGATAATATCTCACCTTATTTTATTGTTATTATTTTTCACAAATAAGTCTGGGTATGGTGACTCACACATGTAATTCCAGCACTTTTTATTGGGCCAAGGTTGGAGAATAGGAATTTGAGAGATCTTGCCTCCACAAAAAAAGAAAACAAATAAACAATGGCATGTGCCTGTAGTCCCAGCTACTAGGAAGGCTAAGGAGAGAAGATTGTTTGAGG